ATCAGGCCTTACAGCACCGCTGAGGCACTGTCATCTGACTTTGTAGGGTTCTGTCGGGGGCATGGATCCTCTGCTCCCCAAAGCCTTGTACTTCCCTGCCTCCAACCCCAACACAACCACAGAGTTCAGAGGCTGAGCCCAATCTGAAAGCAAACAGCCAAGTTCAAGATGAAAGCCTTTGGCCTAAGGTCAGGGCCAGCCAAGCACAGCATCCCAAACCGGAGGATTGTGTTTCTTTTAAACGCCAGACTATAAATAGGGCAAAACCCCAGGAAAATACTTAGAAGCAACAATCATCACCTCCTTTGTACCCAGTCCTGTAAGAAACCCCCCACACTGAAACCTTTCAACACTTGCAAATCTCTACCCTCAATAATTCTCTTCTCTACTCCTGTGCCACCTGTAATCGTGGTTAAAACTCTCAAAACTGGTTGAATAAACACTCGCTTGAATGATTAAAACTCTAACCGGAACAGTTAGCACAAATAAGAAGCCACTTGGAAGGGGACTGTGGTCCATTTCCTCTCAAAAAACCCAACTTATCCGCGGTGCACTTCTGCCCACTCTAGAACCGAGAATTCACACTCAAACTAAAGATGCAGACGGACAGTGCCCGATAATCAAAAGGTCCATTGTGTTCCCTTCACTTACAAAGGCGGTTAAGTGGACCAGTGCATTTTACAATTTCCAACAAAGTTCGAAACAAAGGGTGTGTGTGTTAGAGTGGGAGGGGGGAGGAAACGTTCTTATTAACCCTTAGTTCCCCAGAGAACCCAGTGTGCCGCATTCTAAGCATTTTGGCTAGATGTAATTTTATCGTGGGCTTGTGGTTTTATTTATCAAACTTGGGAGGAGGACGGGCGTTAATAACAGGATGTCAGAGACTCAAAGCGGAATTCGCCTTACCACTGTAGGCAGACCGCAGTACGGGCAGGGTAGTGTGAAGGGTGCAGGAAATGAAAGGAGACACGCAGAGCAGACGGGGAGCACACACTGCATAGGAGGGGAGCCATGAGGGCCACCACAGGTCAGCTAGGGCAGGGGACCAGAGCAGAGGCAGGCCCTGCAGGGACGCGGGGATCTCAAGAACCACATCACAAAACCCCAGCTAGGAAAATGGACAACTCACTCTCTTGTTGGGACCTACGTCTCCCTCCTCTTCCCAGCCAGGATTTTCTAATCCCAAGACCTCACTTAGGCTCAAAGACCCTCCTGACTCAGCTCATCATTAGACATCCATCATTGCCATAAATTTGCACAATTTTTGTATCTGTTATTTTTTTAATTGAAAAATTTTTAAACCCAGCTATCACTGAGACACCTTTCCAGGAGCTGGCATTGAGCCTGGCGGCTTAAGACACCCAGCATCCCACTTCAAGAGTGCCTAGACTCAGTCTCAGCCCAGGCGCCTGACTCCAGCTTCCTGCTAACACAGACCTTGGGAGGCAGCAGGTGATGGCTCAAGTAAGTGGGTCCCTGCCACCCACACAGGAGACCTGGGTTGTACATCTGGGCTCCTAGCTTCAAGCTGGGCCTGGGGCTGCCGTGGGCATTTGGAGAGAGAATGAGTGGATGAGAGCACACTGCTCACTCTGTCTCTGAAACAAATACAAATGAGGGGCGTCAAGGAAAAAATCAGAGACACCCCCCTGAGCACCTCAGTTGTAGCCACACCCTCTGGCTTGCTCCAGGTGGGTATATCTCTCCTTTACCCCAGCAGCTCTGAGCTGGGCCATACTCTCTCTATTCCCACTCCCAGAGCCTTGTCCAGTGCTTGCAAATAGTGATTAATAGAGTCTTACTAATTTCTGTGTACTCTGAAAGATGACACACTTAGATCTGAAATCTGGACTCTGCCCTGTATGATTGAGCAGTATCATCTTTTTTCACATTTCCCTTTGCTCAGGGGCGGTCATCATGATTAAGAGTGCATGAGAGTGCCTCTTCCAAGTGGCCCTTGGGGGAGCTCTCAAATCCTTCCTGTTCTGTAAGCACCGCAAACCGACAACGGCAGAAGGTTGACAAGAGCAGTCACCTTCACCTGTTTTGGGGAAAGGGACTTCCACAAGTGCAGATGGGCAGACGGATACATGACACAGTAACAGAGGAGGGGCCCGGGTCAGCCGGGCAACAGCACGCGGAAGCCTGCGTGCCAGTGCCTGCTGTAGAGGAAATAGAAAATAGAATTCCCCAGCAGAGCAGAGTCCAGCTCAACAACTTACTAAGCTCACTGACACAGCAACAATGGGAGAGCTTCAGGTACCTAACAGCAAGGGCAAAGGTGGGTGAGGCCTCCGGATCCCAAGGGAGAAAGGCTGGAAGTCCCTTTCTCCCCCGGGCTCTGCCTCCCGCTGTGCCTTTGTTGATGGCTGAATTTCTCTGGAGTCCCGGACAAGAGTCCCGTGCCGGGCAACAATGCAGGTACAGTGCTCTGTCGATGCTGGCCACATACCTGCTCACTGGAACCTCAACAAAGGCCAGTGCACATTAACCAGCTTGAAGGGTAAATGTCCAAGCCAGCCCGTGCTCTGTCACACAGTGAGGACACCACCCACAGTGCCCAGCACAGAGCAGGTGCACTGTTAACCGGAACTTCCTCTAGGGGAGCCTCTGCAGTTTACAAAGAGGTTGGTGGTGTGACCGACCGCTAGAGAGCAAGGGTTCAAGATGGTTCTATGAGCAGGAAAGAGGGCAACCACGCGCTCCCAGGCGCACTGAGCACTTGAAAGACCACCTAAGTTTGCCTCCGTTCAAAACCACAACGAGAGCAGGGCAGAAAGCACCAGAAAACCCCTGGAGTATTTCTAAAGAAAGGTGAGTTAACTCCCTTTCTCATGCATCTGAAAGTAGGAAAACAGTTTCCTGCATAAGAAAAACCCTCCCAAATCCCAGCATCTCCCCTCCCAAATCCCCGGGCCACATCCCAGCTCCCACCCCAGGAATTCCTAGCTAGAGACTCTTCCTTGATCAAGAGGCGATTCAGAATCAGTTACAACACAGACCTGCAGGTGGAAAACCCCCAAACAGCCTGATGATGGGAAAGAAGATTTGGGGCGTTTCATTTCTTTCCTTCAACCAATTTCCTGAGGCCCAAGGCGGTGCCCACAGTCACAGATCAAAAAGCAAAGCAAGGCAGATTTCTACAGTCTAAAACACGCTGGCAAATGCTTGCACTGGTCCGTTGTCCCTCTCTTGGGTTTTTCCTAGGGGAGAAGGGGACTTGCCCAGTTAGGGCTGGTTTGACAGTTTTTTTTGTTTGTTTGTTTTTTTGTTTTTTTTAGCTGGGGATGGGGACAGGGCTGCCCTTGTTCAAGAACTTATCTATAATCGTCTCCAAATCAGACTGGCCTGATGCCCAAATCCTCTCTCTGAAAGTTACCTGCCCACTTCTGGGGATTAACTGTTGACTGATTTAGCAGGATCTCACATAAGAGACATTCTGTTTGTTCCAACACCTTAAGGAAGCTGTCTGGACTCCAAAGCTACCACCACCAGCTGCACCCGGCTGCCTAGCCCCTGGACACCACCCCCCCCCTTCCCTCCTCCTTGTGTTTTGAAGTTTATTTTCCCACATTTAGCCTTGAATTCTTTCCTTCCTTCCCTTGCAGTGGCAAAGGAGGGGTGAAGAGGGAAGCCCTCCGAGGGCAGCTAAAGGCTCTATCACACCCTTCCCCTCCAAAGCTAGCCCTGGGCAAACTAAACAAAGCTCTGGTTCTTGGAGGAATTGTTTCCTCCGGGGAAATCATAAGGTGGCCCCTCCCCGCCAAGTCAGGCCCGGCAGAGGGAAGTCGCAGCATCCCCTAAGTTCTGCAATTAGGAGCCCAACCAAATCACCACCTTGAAACATCCTCTCCACGCCCCAGCCCAGGACCCGCTGCAGGCAGGAGACTCCCCCCTAAAACCCTACACTGAACCCAGCGCCTACCCCTGCCTCCTTAGAGCACCAGTGCACAGGCCTGGCCGGCAGCTCACCCAGGGACCCTGGGCGGAGAGGCGGCACCACTACTTAAAGGCTTTTCCACCTCCCAACAGCCTGGGGCAAAAGAGGGATTCGGATAAGCTCCTTCTCACTTGGCTGATGGGGTTACCCTGGAAAATGAACCCTACCAGCTAGAGAGGCACTAAGTACAGGGGAGTCCCTGTAGATGAAAATTGTCCTCATCAGACCTCCCTTGCGGCCAAGAAGTGGGGGATAACTGATGCTGAGACCTCAAGAAACTGGGCTAGAAGACCTCGGTCCCCAAGCTGGCCCAAGGTCCCAGCTAGTACCGGCAACCCTAGTTGATCTGAGCGAGGTCAAGACCATCCACAGGGCTGGTGCACCGTAAGAGGCTCTCCATGCCAATGCGGAGTAAGCCCCCACAATCCCCGCGCCAAACACCCACCGTGTCGCATCCCCTTCCCCTCAAAGAGGGACTATCCGGCTTCGTTGGCCCGTGAAACCTCCGGCGCGCACGAAGTTTAACTCAAGCCTTTAGGGATGTCTCCGCGAGATAAGCCTTCCCGGAAACCCGCGCACGACCCCAGCATTCCAGCCGCCAGCCCCTCCGCCGGTGGGCTCGCGCCCCTCCCCTGCCCCTGGCCCAGGCTCGGACCCCCGGACACCTCCCGCACTCTCTGCCGGGCTCCAGTTCCTGAATTAGAGCCGCCCGGGGGGAGGGGGGCGCGGCACCGGCTCCGGAGCGCAGAGGTGGAGGCGCGAGGGGTGGCACCCGGCCCGGCTCCCGGACTCCGGGAGCGTCTCCAAGGAAAGATAAATGGCTTTATCCGCCCGCACACCCACACCAAGCCACCCCGAAACCCGGGTCGCCCGGGCGCTCTGTCCCGCGCGTGGGGGGCCCCGTGTCCGCGGGCGGGCGACACAGCCCCGCGACCTGAACCTCGGTGGGAACTCCGTGGCGTCCCCCACGGGGACTGAGGGTGATGCGAAGCTGCGCCTGGCCAGGGCTGCGGCCGCCTCCAGGTACAGGCTCCCTGCCGGGGTACAGGCGGCGACTCACCTGCAGGATCTTGTCCAGGCCCTCCTGGCCCAGGCACGGGAACTCCTTGAGCAGATGCAGCTTCTGCGTGTAGTAGTTTTTCTTGGCCTCCTTCCAGTGCGGCTCCTCGAGCACTTCGAAGATCGCCGCCCCGATGGCCAGGTAGAAGATGATGGCCGAAGTGAGCAGAGGGCCCCGGTCCACCATGGCTCCCGAGCAGCCTCCCCCTGGCGAAAGCCTCCCCTAGCCCAGCGGCTCGCGGTCCGCCCGCCCTCCGGCCTCTGGGAACAGCTGTTTGAATTTGGAGCTCCGCATGCGCAGTGCCCCGTCCCCCCTCCCCTCAGCGCCGCTCCCCGGACCGAGTTGCTCGGCCAAGTTCGGCCACTGAGCTTGGGGAACTACGTGGGGCCCCACTCACGCAGGCAGGGGTGGGCGAGCACCAAAGGAGCCGAGGGGGCAGCCCGGACCACCAAGCCGTCAGGATCAAGGGGAACTCGGGGCCGGACCCTGAGAGACACGTGTGCGGCTCCTCAGCGCGCCACAGGCAGTGTGCGCGGCGCCCGCCTCCGCGCGCCTCTTTAACCCGGGCCAAGCGCGCTCTGCCCGCCCGCCCCGGACCCTGGAGGGGGCGGGGCCCGCGCAGGGCACGCCCCCTGAGGCCCCGCCCCTAGCCGGCCCCGCGGCGGACTCCGGAGTAACCGCGAGGTGCACGCGGCCAGGAGCTGGGTAGGTGCTGCGCTCTCCCGAGCCGGCGCCGCGAAAGTCTGCGTGGGCCGGCTCGACCTCGGCGCCCCCCGGGGCCGGAGGGGTTGCGGTCCCTGGGACTCCAGTTTGTTATTCGTGCAGGTACATTAGCTAAAGTGATTGTGCACCTTGTGGTTGAGGTCAGGAATTTATTGCTATTGTTATTTTTATTGTAACTGAATTTTTTATTTACTGGTGCTACTTCCAGGAAAGCTTGATTCTCAGTCTCTCTCACACACACACACCTTCCTAAGAGCCCAGGAAAAGGGGACTAGAAAGGGGCCCAAGAAACTGTATAGGACCAGCGTACCAGGAACTGCTCCGACGAAAAGCATAATTCCCCTCTGGCCCCATTCTCACCTGCCTCTTTGAGACGGCCGCAGCTGGAGAGGGGCCGTCAGGCTGCCACGTGCAGGCTTTGTGACTGCAGTGGAAACACCACCTCGATCCCGCTCCCAAGCCCACTTACAATTGCCCGCCGCCCCTCCCCCACCAGTACACTAACACGCCAGCGGGGAAGGTGGGGGAGGGCTGGTTTTGCTCCAGGATGGATCCGCTGCTGCGCCTGCCACTTGGTAGAAACTACAAATGGGAACAGTGAAGAAGTGCCAGAATATGGCAAGCCTCTCTCTCCCCACGCTACCGGCTTCTGAGTGTCTGTAAACCCCTCTTCTTCTTTTCTTCTTTTTTAAGATCTATTTACTTATTTGAAAGGCAGAGTTAGAGAAAGAAAAATCTGGGGCCATCACTGTGGCACAGCAGGTTAAAACGCCAGCCTGCAGTGCCGGCATCCCATTTGGGCGCCGGTTCCAGTCCCGGCTGCTCCACTTCTGATCCAGCTCCCTGTTAACGCCTGGGAAAGAAACAGAAGATGGTCCCTGCACCCATGCAAGATTCCTGGAAGCAGCTCCTGGCTCCTGGCTTCGGATTGGCTCAGCTTGGGTTGTTGTGGCCTTTTGGGGACCGTCTCTAACTCTCTGTAACTCTGTCTTTCAAATAAATAAGAAAGAGAAATCTTCCATCTGCTGGTCCACTCTCCAAATGACTGCAATGGCCGCTGGAGCTGAGGTGATCCAAACGCAGGAGCCAGGAGAAGCTTCCGGATCTCCCAAGTGGATGCAGAGGCCCAACGACTTGGGCCATCCTCCACTGCTTTCCCAGGCCATAGCAGAGAGCTAGATCAGAAGTGGAGCAGCCGGGACTCGAACCGGCACCCATATGGGAAGCTGGCATCACTAAGCATCCTAAGCAGGGACTGTCAGGAGACCCCTGTGTAGCAAGCAGTTTGGAGTTCAGGCAGGTTAGCTTGCTCCACATCCCAACCAGCAGCAGCCAGAAGTCAGAAGGTACACTGGCTCCAGCGCCCTGTAACCACAGCCCACCCTGACCCTCTGTGAGGGCAGGTGCCTAACAGTGACTGCAGTCCCTTTCATGCTATGGAGCAGGGGTAGTGGGTGTTCTTTGGGGAGAAGGGAGGAGATTATCTGTGGGATCTGCAAGTTCCATGGCGTGGAAGGGCTAAGGGTGTGGTTTGAAGGGCTGATTGGAGTTTGTGGATGTTCTTGTCTCTCTTCTATGGCGCCCCACACAGGCCTGGAGGAGGAGGCAGCCCAGGAGGCTGGGGCAGGGAGCTGGGAAACACCAAGTTTCCTTCATTCTGCCTCTCTGAAGCCTGCCTCTCCCAAACAAGACTCGCCCTGGACAAGACCTTTGGGTAGCCCCCTCCAAAAACAACCCACTCCCCAGCCCACGAAGATCCTCCCCGTTAACCCTTGCAAACCTCCTACCCATCCAGCCCCCCCACCCCCGCCGTGGCCCGTGCCCCAAATGCAATCTCACTCTGGGTGAGTCCCTGGGTCTCTGTCCCTGTCCTCCTTCCTCTCTCTCCCCGCCTCTGGGACATCAGGGGCTGCCTGTGTGTGTGTGTGTGTGTGTGTGAGTGAACACTTCAGCCAGCATGGGGTGGGGGCCCTCTGAGAGGCCAGGGGCTCTCCCTTTGTGTGGAAAATTCTCTGCCATTCCTCTCCCACCTCTGATCTGTGTTCTTTCCCTAAGAAAATAAAGGGCCTCTTCCTATTTCACTCTCATTGCCTCACAAAAATACTGCCGAATGCTTAGGGATGAATAGGTTTTTATATGAAGCGTTTAGAATTTCTGACTTCTCTCTCCTTCCACCTTGTCTGTTGCTCCAGTTCTTGCATCCTTTCTGTTTTTTTTTTTTTTTAATTGCCTCTTTTATTTATTTTTATGTGCTTGAAAGTGAGACCAACACAGAGAAACAAAGGGATCCTCCATCGACTGGTTCATTCCACAGATGCTCAGAACAGCCAGGGCCAGGTAGAAGCCAGGAGCCTGGAACTCCATCCAGGTCTCCTATGTGGGTGGTAGGGGCCCAAGCACTTGAGCCATCATCCACTGCCTCCCTGGGTGTGTTAGCTGGGAGCTGGATCAGAAGCAGAGCATCCGGGACTCAAACCCACACTCTGATACGAGGTGTGGACTTAGAAAGCAGCAGCTTAACCTGCTGCAGCACAAGGCCCGCCCCACCTGTTCTCTTTCTTGCTTCTCCCTCCTCTTTCTCTCTGGTTGCCTCATCCCTCACCTTCCAGTACTTTCCGTAACTCTTTTTCTAGCTCTTCCTTCTCCCTCCTCCTTCCCTCCCCCCACCTCCAGGCTCCTCCCCCTGCTGAACGGGTTTCTCTCCCCTCCCCCCACCTCCGCTCACTCCTTCCCCCTAGTCCTCTACACGCCCCCCTGGCCTAGCCCCACATTCGAATCAGCAGTTTCTCAAGGAGCTGCAGAGCAGGCAGAGGACAGCAGCGCTGGGTCCCTTCTCTGTGCTTGGCTGCAGCTGGCGCTTTTGTATAAACTCTACTGAAACCCTTGAGTGTTGATACAATGTGAACCTTGAGGACGTAAAAGGGAAAGTTGGTCTCTAGGGGTGGGGTGGGGATGCAAATCCCTTCTGGTCATTTGCACATATTTCCCATTATTATGCTGAACTTGTCCTGGCTGCTATCCTTCCTTGAGAAGCCCTCAGTTTTGAGAGTGGAGTTGAGCTTTAGCAAGAGGGCAGATGAATGAGTCTAGTTAATTAGACTCCCTCCCCACCTGGAGAAACTGGCAGGGTAGATGCTGGCCGTGCTGTCCTAGGGCGAGCTTGGTCACAAAAGGATCTTCGGCCACCTTTCTTTCTCCCTTCTTTCGGTTAGGTGTAGGGATTATCCCCTCAGTAAGATTAAATACTTGGCGATCTCTCCAAAATCCTAAAACAGCACTGACTCTCCTGGGCTCAGTGGGTGAAACCAGCACACGTAACACTGGATTCCACGTTGGAGCTCTGGGCATTGGAGTCCATCATTCCTGCTAATGAGCACCAGAGAGGCAGCAAGGGCTTGGGTCCCTGCCATCCACGTGGAAAACCCAGACTGGGATCTCTATTCCTGGCTTTGGCCTGCAGCTGTTGCCTCCTCCCAGGCATTTGGGGAGTGAACCAGTGGATGGAAGGTCTCTCTGTGTGTTTCCTTCTTTTTCTTCGTCTCTCTGCCTTTCAAATAAAATGAAAATAAGTAATTACTTTTTTAAAATCACAGAGCAATAGAGTTTTGTAAGAACTAGTGGGAATGGTATATATACAGACCATGGAATATTACCCAGCCTAAAAAAAGAAGGCCCTGGCTCCTGCTACTGTAAGGTTAAACCAGGAGGACTTGATACTGCATGAAATAAACCAGTCACGAAAGGGCCCTTAGGGCATGGTTCCACTCCCTCTGGAGGAGGTAAAGAAATCAAACGCAGAAACAGAAAGTAGGGTGAATGGTGATTTCCAGGATTTGAGGAGGAGTGGGCGGAGCTGTTGAGTGTCAGGTGCACAGAATGAAAGAGTTGAAGACCCCTGAGGCCCAACCACCTGCATTCAGACAACACTACTAGGCTGCACACTTGAAAACAGTTAAGACAGTAGATTTTGTTATGTATTTGCCACCACAAAGCAAGTAATAATAATAATAAAAAAAAAGAACCTGTAAACTCGATGTAAGGCATTCGAAGTTCCGAGAATTAGCTGGACCTTGGGAAGGGAGCTGCAGCTAACTGACAATAATAAAGTTAGGTAAGCGTGGCCTCCTCGGCCTCCAGCTTGGCCAGGTCTCAGATACTCCCACAGGGGTGGGGAACCTTTTTTCTGCCAAGGGCTCCTTGAATATTTATAACATCATTCGTGGGCCATACAAAATGATCAACTTGGAAATGAGCCTGCTCCAGACTTACTGAATTTCCAGTCCCGCCTGCCGTGGCCTGGCTGGGCAAGACCCAGTGATTTTGCAGGCCTTATACTGCCCGGGGGCTGCACAGTTCCCACCACTGCCCGCAAAGCTGTCTGTCTTTAGCCCCAGGGCTGGTTAGGCTACTGAGAATCCAGTCCTAGGGTAGGAGCAACGCTCAAGCCCTGACTTATTTGTATTCGAAGACTTCATCGTGGGTCTCCTTTGCCGTTTCGATGTCTCTCCTTTAAAAAGAGAGCGTGTCCATATCAAAATTTCGTTGCTGCCTGGCAACAGGCCAGGGAAAACAGCTCAGTAAGGAGAGAGGCCCTCCCTCTGTGCCGAGGTCATCTGAAGCTGGGTCATTTTCAGAACAACATCACAGGCTGTGATTTATGGGACCTACCCTTAAACCTTTCCTTCCCCCAATCGCTGGCTCCTGAAATTCCACCATTCGAGAGCCATTTCTCTGCCTTAAACCTCCTCTTCTTGCCAAGACTTTTTTTTTTCAAACCCAGGAAGCAGTATCACACTTTACTTCCGTGACTCCCAGTCTTTTGTTTGTTTGTTTGT